ATCTTTTGCTGCTTCTATATACAGAAATACTAGAGAGAGAGAGAGCTAAGGGGAGCGTGACAATGCCGGCTCTTTTCAAGGGAAAAGGTTAGGCATGGTGACCGATGAGTTTTGTATATGTGGGGGGCTAATAGGGTAAAATATATTTTTAGAACTCGAAAAAGCACTATGGTTATAGAGCACAGGCTAATATTCTATGATTAGTCCTCCCATTGGGGCTCTGTGGGGAATCCCCTTTCTTCGCTTGGCAGTTCGGTAATTAACGGAGGTTGGAGGGGGTGTTGAAGGACTAAAGCTCTGCACTTTGCTGCTAATGTTGTTTTCTTTATTGCTGCTCTTCAGCTTTCCATGGCTGCTGCTGCTGTATGAATCCTCAGAGTCTGATGCCATGGCTAGGTGCCTCTTCTTTTTCTGGAAATTCTTTGATGTTCCAACAATCTGCAATTGGAAACATGAATGTGCAAACAGATTAGATTTCACAACAATCAGGATTTTATCAAAAACACATTCAAAACTTCTTTGACAGCTCTTTGGGGTCAAGACAAACTATAATGCATTATCGTTGATTACAAGGACAACTCAATTGAATACTGATAAAACAAGAAGAGATAAAAGCCAATTGAAAAATTAGATATACTCTTTTGAGAAACCATTGTTTCACATTGCCTCTCCTGGCTACTTCCCAACGCCGTGAATAAAAAAAAAAAAAAGTCAACATAGTTTCACCAAACAAAATTAAGCTTAATTGACCATATTGGTTTTGCTTGGAAAACTAACACCTTCACTTTCCCACAATTTCTCAGCTACCAAACAGCACCATTGACTACCAACAAAATTAATTTTCAAACACAGAAGAGCGGATTTACCTTGCAACCAAGAGAGCAGAACCGGAAGGAGTCCACAAGGCTACGGTCACAGACCTCACAGGTGTTGGTGACACCTTTTCCAGGCCTAGGCTGTGGCCTCTCATTGAGGAAAACAACCTTAGCACTGTTAATAACATAAGTTTGGACTCCAGATATGTCCAGGTATTTCTGTATCTCAGACACCCTTATCACATCATGGTATGAAGACCTCCTAATCTGTCAAAAGAAAACAGAGCAAATCACATCAGCAAATAGAAGTAAATGTAGAACTTTCGTAACGAATTGAGAAATAACAGACAAATCCCATAAGAAATTCGTGATTTGTAGCCTTATCTGTCAAGTAATGCAAAATCAAATTACACTCACTCACGAGAAAAACATTTCACTTTGTTGTTAGAAGCAGAAGAGAAAGCCGGGGAATTTTGTGGGACTGGTTATTAGATCGGAAAACTACCATTGATTAGATGAAAAGGAGTTGTTATTTTTTATTCTGCCAAAATGCCTTTTTACAAAACAGAGAAAAGGCCTTGAAAATTGAGTCAATGCCCGCTTGGATGCTGAGAAAATGTGTGAAAAAAGAAAAAATGGAGACTTGGGAAAGTACAAACACTTGCCCTGTACCAGGGCTAAAGTTCTAATCTTTTAGTACATTTAAGAAAAACAGAACGAGTGTAAACCTAGCATAGAGCTTTAAAGAAATGTGCTTTAAATTAAAATTGAAAACAAACTCGATCAAGAAAGGACAGAGAACCGAATTCCAGAATTGGAAATCTGAATGCCAAAAAAGGGGATAGAAATAACAGGATTCCCCTCATCCCATAAAAGGAAATGACACAAATTTCAACACAAAACGGAAAATAGTTAGTATTTCTTTTGACAAAAGATGAGCTCAAAACCAAACCGAGATGAAAAAATTAGATAAAAAAGAGAAAAAAAAAAGGAAAAGAGGAAAATGTGAATTTGAAGCAAAATTATTGAACCTGAATATAACGATGATCCTTGTGATAAGACAGGCAGAAAGAGCAGAGAGCACCATTCATGCAATCTAAGCAGTACATATTGCATTCACTCTTGTGAGAATCAATATGAATCTTGCATTGAACAAAGAATTGTTCTCTTAACAAAGGCTTCAGCCATGGAGGCCACCTGTTGTCTTCTTCATCAGGTCCACCAGCTCCCTGTCAAACACCAAAAAAAGTTAAAACACCATTTTCATCAACACGCATTTTTTAATGAATACCCAGATCAAGAAACCAAAAGAACAATGTGAAAAAGTAAGTTAAAAAGTTGAAATGGAACAGAACAATGAGGTAAAAAGAGAAGTGCTTTGAAGATACCATGATTCTCCTGTTCTTGGGCTTGATTTCACGGACGGTGGTTTCTTGATTTTCGATCGCCAGCTTGAACTGATTGAAAAGAGAAAACTCAAAAGAGTATACTCTGTTTTTCTTGGTTTGAAAGGGAATTTTGAGTGAGATTTTGAAGAGAGAAGTGGAGGCGGCGAGAGAGAGAGACAGAGAATGCGGTCTTTAAGTTATTATGCAAATTAAATGAAAATACACAAGGGAAGGGGTCGTTCTTATCTACACAAAGTCCACATCCGAACCTAAATCCGAAGCGAAAGCCCTCGATGGGAGATGCGTTGGGTGCAAGGAACCGACCTCCTTCTTTCCTTTTGATTTCCCTTTCATTTTCACCGTCTCTCTCTCTTTGGTCTTATCATTTATTTATTTTTATTTCTTTTAATTTGCAATTTATTTTTTTACCCCTAAGTGTGTGATTATTTAATGCTTTTATTGTCACTCATTATTATTGGCGATCAACATTTTTTTAAGTGATGTAATTAATTTAAATAGTGATTATTGATATTGTGTTTTTGTGATTTTCCATATAATGGATAGATATGAATTTATTTCAAAAGTTTATATTTGATATCATGTGTCTTTATAAAGTATTTATATGAATCAACGAATTAAATATTTTCATCTTATTCATATATTAATTTTAAAAACTAAATATTTATAATTTTAATTTTTAAAAAAAAAATTATATATTTATAAAGTAACACGTTATGATTAAGTAATAATGTATAAATATTATATATTGATAATACATTGAATATAAACTCTTACTCTAATACTACATCAAATGTATAGACTTTTCTTATTTGCATGTCCATGTTTTTTGTCTCAATCCTTTGAGTTATTTTTTCTAACTAATTTCGTTTTTCTCATCTTGAATAATTCTTTGTCACTTACGTTTTGTTTAATATCCTTTTATTAAATATAGCACAATTTTTTTTACAAAATAAAAAGGGAATAGTTACATAAAATAAAACGGGCAAGCCAAGACAAATTGTTTGGGAAACCCTAATTCTCCATTGGGATGAAAGCTTAGGCATGTAGAGTAGGGAAAGACAGGTTGATATCACGGTTGGCCCTAATAGCATGGAGTTTGGTCTCGGTCGGCCATCTCTTATTAGGAAACAAACCTATGCATTAAAACAGCTTGAAATTTGCTTGACATCCACCTTCCAAAGAAAATACTAACTAAAATTATATTCACCCAAAGTTTTTGCTAGGGAAACAAAATCAACATTGTCTTTTTTAACTATGTTAGTTTATTTCCATATGTATATATATATAAAATTTATATCTAATTCATTGTCAATGTATAGGTTCAGTGAACCGAATATTGCATATTATTAATAAATAAATTAAAAGTTGAGAATCCTCAAAAATAAATACATTTTATTTCAAAAATATTTATTTTGAAAGACGTTAGAACTTTTAGTTTTATATATTTATGAAGTAGCACGATAGTACATAAGTATTTTAGGTTGACAATGCATCAAATATGTATGTATACAATCCAACCGGTTGAGATTAAACATTCATCAACTTAGCAAATTGATAAAGATATGGAGAATGTTTAAGAGAGAGTTTATGTTCATAGAACTTGAGGAGTGATATTTGTAAATTAATTAAGGGTCAAATTTTTACAAAAAAAAAATCACATGTAAATTGTGCTTGAGAAAAGAGATTTTAGGTACATGACTAAGCAATCTCATCAATCAGTGTTGACTATAGTACCCGAATTTATTAAAGTTTACCAATGAGTTGATGGAAGACCGAATGCATGAATCATTTGTGATCTCAACTTCCAAAATGACAAGGTAAACTACCAAATTGGCAAATTGTTTCCTTCCTATGCATCTAGGATAAGGCATATTGATTGGTATTAGTCCAATAGATATTGCCTTACATGTTTCCCTTGGACAATGACCAAAGAGGGATTTGAAATGCAATCCACTTGGATTTGCTGTAAAGGATGAGGAAGAAGAATGAGGGGGGGAAAGTGAATTAGAGGGATCATTGATCCATTGCCGTTGACATCTTGCATTTCAAGTAGATTGGCTTTTACATTTCTGTAATTATATACGTTAAAAGGAAGAGGGATCTGAAATTGATTTTTCATTCTTTAAAATTAAATTTCTATACTACTTATTTAAAACTATTTTAGAGATTTTTAGTATTTTTAAAATTTTCTTCTATTTAAAATGAAGCAAAAATAAATCTAAATTAGAATATTAAATTTGTGTGACAAATGGAAATTTCAATTTTCTTCTTTTCTGATGCAAGAAAAATGTTAATGTCCAACTCTACAGCTTATATCCAAAATTCATTCTAATGTTATATCTCACCCCGGTTGAATTCTGTCTAGGTATCATTTTATAATTCTACGTTATTTTTCTTATATCTTAGTGGAGCTAAGCCTTAAACTTTGATTTTCCCTTTTACTTGTTGGCCTTGAACATAATAACAATAATTAATCATAATAATAATGGTTAAACTAATTGGCTTGTCTTCAATTAATCCGTAGGCTATGGGTATCATTTGATGGGTATCCAAAGACATCTTAACAATAAATTAAGTTGGGTTGGACATGCTTTTATTTCAAATACTTTGGCCGAAATCTCATTTTAATCCTTTTTTTGTTATAAAATTTATCTATTTTTGACATTTTAATGAATTGAGAGCTTCTAAAGTGCTGCCTTCATCGGAAAAAAATATCAATAGATTTGCATTTTTAAAATTTCATAAAAATAACATAATATAATATGTTAAATTTTATATAACATCAACAATTATAAGATACTTTTGTATGTAATAAATATGTTAAATGTATTTCTTTAATGGTTTTAATTGAATTGTTTGTTACATGCATGACACAGGTTTAAAACTAGTTTTCTTTTAAATTACAAATAATAAAACCCAAATTTCAAATTACCTAAGACTTGGTCTTAGCTAACAAATAGAAGGTTTTAATTATTTTTGGCAAGTATAAGGTTATTCTTTGTTTTGTTTTTTTATGATAGGAAGCATTTATTCTTGAGATATGTTTTTTTGATAATTATGTATGCAAGAATAGGATGCTCAATGGAAAAAGTAAATTGAAATATTCTCAAATAATTGTTCTCAAGGTAAGGTTACTATAGTACTTGACAAAATATCTAAATTTGGTTTCTTAAGATACGAAGAGTTATTGGAGTCCACGAGAACACTCATCCTTGTAGATAATCAAAAAGAGATTGTGAATGGGCAAATTCAACTTGGGTCTTAAATACCACAAAGAAAATTAAAAATAATAAGAATCATATGTAAAACAAAAGAGATTTTTTGACTTGGAAAGATCATGCCACTTGAAAGATACAAGCCACTAAGCACGCCATAATCTAATATAGTAAAATATTGATTACAACAATAATTAAACTAATCAAGAGGATTTTGAGCCTTTTATCGCAGAGAATCATCCAAGTTAAGAAGAAGAAGAAGAGGAGAAGAAGATCTTGCTGATTCAATATAAATGATAACAGATTTCACAAATCTTTGCATGAGATTTCTTGGGAAAGAAGACCGGGTTTTTTCCAAAAGTCACCAATTTTTTAATGTTTGTTTGTTGGCAGACTGTTGCAGTGAAATTTCCTTGAAAATGCCCATCAATTATACCAGAAGAAGTGGAAAAA